GTTTTGATATAATAATAATTTACCATTATAAAGTTGTATCTCGCATCCAGATAGCAAACTTTTGTTCCAATTCTGTTTTTGTTATTAATTTCATCTAATCGCTCATCATAAGTAATATTTTGTAGAATAAAACATAATAAATACATAATAGTACATTTTTTACCGATAAATATATATAATATTCATGTATATTCAATATCATTTAATATTTTTTATATTTAGCTAAAATAAGATGCACTTATATAACAGTATATGTAATAGTGTTTATTACTTTTCAGACAAAATGTCTATATAATCAAAACAAATGATTTATCTGAAACCCAGGAGATACTAAAACAAGAAGTATTAAATACCGTGAATGCACATATTGTTAATGAAAATATTGTGAGCATTGCAAGTAATACTGGTAAGTAGATGATTGTGTTATATTAATGTGCTTTGCAAAATCTATTAATTTATTTTACATTTTATTATTATGCATAACATTGGTCTATGGTATTTTTCTTGTTTGCAATACAATGAATAAGCTATTTTTTTCAGGTATTAAGGCAGAATGTAAAAATGAAGGGCAGTCAGTGCAGTTTATGAAAATACCAAACGCTAATACTTCCACAGTAGCGAAGCAAAATGCATTGTTAGAAAAAAATCAAACTGCCATTTTAACTAAAAGTAATATACAAAATAATATCACAGTAAGTTATTACACATTATAATAATGTTTAATAAAAAACAATTAATTATATTCTTTTAATAATGACATTACAATTATTTTTATTTTTAGCCGCCTTTTTATGTAAATTCTGAATCATATCCATGTCAGATGGAAAAAAAATTAAGTATTAAACCTTGTCAGATTAAAAGTCGACAATTAACAAATAACGTTGTGGGTATTGTATCTCAAACTCCAGGAATAAAGGTAGTAACTACGATGGAAAACCGGATTCAAAATTCTAATACAACTGGTCCTAAATCTACGCTATCTGTCTGTAAAACTATCGGTTCACAAAGACATCTTGTGGCTGTGAGACCTGTTCGTACTCCTAATTCGAATATTTCGCACGTGCGACCTGTGGCAATAGTTCCTCCTGAAATTTCTAAAACACCAACGAGAATGCAACCTCCGGATATGGAGCATTTAAATGAGCAAATCAAGCAAGCCAAAATTAAACAGTTAAAACTACAACTCGAGAAACAAGGATTTTTTCAAAATAACACACGACAACTCTCTCATACTTTGCAGCATATTCATTCCTCGTCGCATAATCCCCCGCGTCAATTTATAAGTTCTACGCAACAAAGAACGCAACAGATTTCAATCTCTACACAACAAGTACCGAAACCATCTGTAGTAATGTCAGTCTCTTCATCAGCTGAACATAATACACCCGTTACTAATACTGATATGGAAGTCAATCCTTCGGAACTTGTTCAAGAGAAAGGGCATGGTACACAACAGTCTTCTTCACCACGATTAGAACATGAAAGCAGTTCAAGTGAAAGCATCGCTTACCTTAAAAACACAATTAATGATCCAGCAAATGCCGTAGTTCAGCAACAAATTCAAGGAAATACGGCAAAAATGTTAGTAATGTTAGCCACAGGAGAACAGAGACTAATCACGTTCGACATACCGAACGAGGACTGCACTGTACACGACCTATTGGATCAGGTACGTGCAGTCTTGAGCCAGGTATGTTTCTACAAAAATTTGTAGAAAAATTGTACAGGGTAATTGACAAATTGCTATATAGTTTGAAAAATTTGAAAATTTCGAAGAATTTTGTAAAATATTTCAAAATATTAAAGGAATATTTATTGCATCGATAATCAACGTTTAAAAAATTTATAAATTTTCTTATGCAATGAATAGCATAAGAAAATTTTGCATTTGATAATTGCAATTATATATTGTTTTGACATGGCTCCAGAATTGTAAGGCAACCACAATGATTAGTAACAATCGAATTTTTGCGAGATATTTTATTTTTATATATTACATAAAATGTTCTTAGGTGAATATTCCATTCCCTCATGAAACACAAGTTTCCCTGGTGGATGATCCCGCACTGGGTATAAACTACATAGTGGAGCCAAGAGATTCCGGGGTGCTGTCAACATCCTTCGAGGGTACTGATGGCGATTGTAACACTACTCAGGAAATTGTGAGCTCCACTGCAAAAATTGAAAATTTATCCCAAAGTAACAAGTAAGATATGAAATTGTATTATATTTATACTGTAATATCCAATTATATTATAAAAAATTCTAAAATGACAATATTTTCAGTGCATCGGATGAAAATAGTAACACCTCTTCACAAACTATTGAGGTGAGCTTGTAGATTCAGTGTAAAAAAAATTTAATTAAATAAGGATATTGGCATAAAAATTATGCTACTCTTTTCGATTCAACTGTTTATATTGCAAAATATAATGGAATTTTATTTTTCTAAAATTAAAAATTTGGAATATTTAATTTTTACAAAATTTATTGTTTTGAAATACTCGATAATATCTAACTTTAATATAAAAATATATGATTTATATAATTTACATTTAGTAATATTATTTTATTGATACTATGCCAATTTCTTTATTTTAACATATCAATAATATTACTATATTATGTTCGATACTTATATAAATGATATAATAGATGTATTATGTAAAAATAACAGAATGGAAGAGACAGAATTAAATGAAGTAAATATAGTATACAATAGTTAACTCTCGACTACAGCAACGGGTCATTTGGGCGACGAGATACTACTAAAGACCGATACTTTTATGTGAGTCTGATAATTGAAGAACACTGACATCAACTTTTAGTTATTCTAAGACGATTTCAAAATTGAAATTTACACGTTTCTGATGATAAAACAATTATTAAGGAAAGTAAAGTTTTTATTAATTTATCTTTAGAATAACTAAAATAATTAATAATGTCAATATTCTTCAATATCGGGCTCTCTAGATGATCATGCTAAAGGATCATATATATTGGCCGTAATTTGTTAACTTATGCCGTAATCTGTAAGAATTTATTAATCACAGTCAAATGTGAGGGGAATAATCAATTATGATAAATTTTTACAGATTACGGCATTAGTTAACAGATTAGGCCAGTCTAAATGATCCTTAACTCCCGTAAAGTCCTAGACTACGAGTTGATGATTACGATTGACGATTGTCCGGTTCTATTTCAATTAATCACGAATGAACTCGCTACATTGATTGAAATAAAATCGGACAATCGTTAATCTGCAGTCTGATCTGACAGACATAATAATGTCGGTCTTTAATATTTTGTCGATGTTTGGACCCAAAGCAAAAATTTTAGATGCGATTGGTATAATCTATATTGGTATAATCTATAATTGATACTACGTAATTCTAAATTGTAGGTAAAACGGAGATTCACTTGCATTCTGTACTCTTCACGGAACATTTTAAAACTTATATGTAATTTTTGTAGCTGTAGTTAAGGGTTAATGATAATTTATATACAATATGTAATATCACATTGATAGCGATTGATAAGAATTTCCGTAAGAAATTAAGGGAACACTTAAAGTTCATCATTTAAATGATATTCTACAAGTATTAAATGATATTCTACAAGTACGAAGTATACCATGTTATTACTAGGAACCTATTTTGGTCAAAGGAATGCTTGCTCTCTGTCCACACTGCGGATACAGTTCACTATTCTTCAACCGATGTGAACGATGTAATACAAAAATAAAAATTGATGGAGTCAAATCGATACCCATAGCAGAAAGGAAGGAGGCTGGGATGTCTGTCGATGTAAGGATTATGTCTGCGATGCCAGAAGACCGATATATTCTTATTATTGTTATAATGAGATCTTATCATAATAATCTATTGTTTGATTGATATTGCTAACAAATTTAATTTACTTAAAACTAAGAGTTTAGTTTAAGAGGACTATTAATATAGCATTGTAATATAGCAAATTTAGAGCGCTTTCAGCGTATGGTCATTAAGAAGTATATTTTGTTTAGAGAAGGATTTAGCCAAGAACTAATTTTAAAACTAAGACGTTTTATATCATTGTCATGTCATTACAGGTCATATCGAAAGCAGTTTACTACGATCATCTTAATGTATCATATAATGTATCATATATCCTAGTGGCCGTTTATTGGCGATAACATTGGTTAATTAAAGATATCTTGAATCATTGTGCCAATAACTGTACCAATAAATGTGCTATTAGGGTAATTTAGTAGTAGCGTATCATATACTTTTGTCAACCATTTTTTCTACCAATATTTCCCGTGTCAATTTGTAAAAATTACGATTTGTATTACGATTGTATATTTTTATAGATGTTTTATAAGAAGAACAACGAACGAAATGCTACGAAATCAGAGAAAATAGAACGAGATGGTCCCAAGCGGTCCAAGGGAAAAGCTAAAGGTACAGCTTCCAAACCAAAGCCTATTCATAAAGAGCCAGGTACATATAATATTGTTATACATATATCTATGCATGAAACATATGTATATTAATGATTATTTTATTAATTTCTAGAATGTTTGACAATATCTTCTGATGAAGAGGAAGAAGGTAGACCTAAAAAAACTGGAAGCATTAATAATAACGCAGTAGTAGGAAACGCAAGTAACACATTTAATGAAGAGGACACTATTGTGGATAAGGAACCAATAATTACAAATACTTCTGCTTTTAATTTATATGACGATGTTATGGACAATGAAGAAAATAGTAAAGGTAATGTTTTATAAGATGCATAAGTGATTCACAATTTATGGCTGATATAATAATATAATAATGAAATATTGAATTTTAGAAATATATGAAAATCAGAACTTTTTGGATGTTGGGCAACTACCACAAACTGCTCTAGAATGTCGAACAGTCAGAATAGGTTCTTATAAATATATTCCTCGGGAAAAAGTAGTGATTTCCCAAAGTGGTGTAAGATTTAGCGTACCATTGTTAGAAGATGGTAAGTTGATTTTATCTGTAAATAAATTTTATCTGGAAATATCTTATTGGTACTAGATTTTTCATAAACTTCTTAAAATATTCCAATATTTTACAGATGCAAGTTTTGTTACTTTTGACGTGAAGTATAAAGATATAGTTAAACTTTTAATTCATTTTGGAAAGACAATGCCAGTACTATTCTTTTATACATCTGTAAATACAGGAGCCATGATACGTGAATTATTAGGAATGCAAGATCCAAAGGGGCCATATTATGACCCTGCTGGGAAAGGTATTTACATGACATCTATGAGCTTTCTGTATTTTTAATATTTTTTGTAGTTTCTGTAATTTAATGCTTACTCTAGATAGTATTTAATCTCCACACTTTTCTTCGATACAATTATGTATATACAGAAAAGATTCTTGCAAAAATGATGATTAATACTTTATGTTTTTATTATTTTTTAGATCACACACATAAACGTATTACATTATTACCAGATAAGTTACCGGATGATTCAAAGGTGATATTAACAAGCTTATTCTCACGAGGAGATAAAATAGACGAATTAAGTCCTAAAGAAGCTAACGATATACTTATACGGGCATCACCAAGAGATGTATTTAAAATTAAATTTTATTTTATTGTACGTATGTTATGCAGTGCAAATATTTTTATATATTTTTGTGTTTACAGTGTTTACAATCACATAATACTACACGGAAACAGAGTCAAAACGTAGCAAATACTACTGCTGTTAGTGATGACATACAAACGTGAGATTCTTATTTAATAATCAATTTTGTCTTTTAATAATTTGATATATATCGGATAAAACATATTTTATAATTTTATCTATTCGATCTAATATTACTTCATTTTTCATCTAAATTACAGTAAATTTAAGTAAATAAATTACAGTAAATTACAGTAAATATGGTTGTTGGACTTCTTTAAACGTAAAAATTTCTTTCTTGTTATAGAATAACTGTATATCCACCACCTCCTGCAAAAGGAGGAATAGCTATCAACACTGAAGATTACTTATGTCTTGCGGAAGATCAATTCTTGAATGATGTCATTATAGATTTTTATTTAAAGTATTTGACCTTAGAGGTATTATCAGAATCTGATCAACATAGAACTCACGTGTTTAGTTCGTATTTTTACAAACGTTTAACTAGTCCACATGCCCAAGCTGCCGAAAGCACCGTGCCAATGACGCCTGCCGCCAAACGGCACGCGAGAGTACAGAAGTGGACGAAAAATGTCAATATATTTGAAAAAGATTTTGTCATAATTCCCATAAACGAACAGTAAGTAATCCTGTAAATTTGATTTCGTAAATGATCCTATGAATTAGGGATACAGCGGATCGTAAAATTATCGGATATCGAATATCCGAGAAGGCATTTTGAGTCAGATATTCGATATTTTCTGAATATCCGACCGAATTCCGAGAAAATGACTTTTAAAAAAAGCCTAGAGAAAAAAATTGCAATTTTGCAATAATGTATAACATATTATAACATTATGAATATGCATACTTATTTCTAGAACATTTATATATAATAATATAAAATCAACAATTTAATGATATCTGGCTATCCGATAGTAAAAAAGTGCCAGATAATACCGGATATCGAGTACTTTCCAGATACCCAATGCATCCCTACTACGAATCCTATAAATTCAATAATTAAGATGCAGTTTTTTATCTAATGTTCCAACTGGGTTCACTCAGAACCATAAAGATACTTATTAGCATAAAAAATTATTTTTTGTTTATGATTGCGTTTCAAGACCAAAAAATATTTCGGCGCGAAATTTGCAAATCAGATGTATATATAAATTTACACAGAAATATTTAAGTACTAAGATCTGTTTTGATCGGATATAGGATTTCTCTTATTTAAATATATATTCATTTTTATTGGTCCAAATTCGTAACGTATTAATATTGTTTATAGCGCACATTGGTTCTTGGCTATTATTTGCTTTCCTGGGTTAGTTGGAAAAGTATCCACCTGTACTGCAAAAACTAGCGAAAACTATGTTAATAAGACTCCACAAAAAAGTAAAAAAATAAAAGAATTAAAAGCAAAAGCTGTCACAATTGGCTCTACAACAATCACTCCTGTACCAACGACCATAACGATAGACCAGTTAGATGATGATGGATCTGAGAGAGACGAAGCAGAAGGCGACGATGATGAAATGGAAACGGACAGTGACGAAGAGGTAGAATTAAATTGTATCATTAATAATTTTCTTTATTTTAAAACAATTAGTTATAATATAATATATTTTACGTGTAGGACGAGATAGATCAATCAGAAAAAGATAAAATCCAAATTAATGTTAAGCTCGAAGAGCAGAAGGAAACTGTCAGGAAGTAAGCAGCACATCTATATCATGTACTTGTAATGCAATGTATTGTGATTTTAATATTTGAATAATTTAATTTACAGTCCCTGTATATTGATATTCGATTCGCTTGCTGGTGCTAGTAGATCACGAGTGGTCGCTACGTTAAGAGATTATTTAAGTTGTGAACATGTTGCCAAACTTGGTGTAGAAAAGACGTTCTCGAAAGATACTATTAAAGGAGCGTGTCCAAAAGTACCCCAGCAATCAAATTTTACTGATTGCGGATTATATGTTTTACAATATGTGGAAAGTTTTTTTAAGGCAAGTATATTGAAATATCTTTATTTTTTTATTATTATATTTATTGTTTACATGTCTAATTACGTAAATTACCAATGTGATTATGAGTTTATTTCTTTTTTAGGATCCTGTTAAAGATTATACTTTGCCAATTAAAACCTTGAAAACATGGTTTGAGGAAATTGTTGTAACGAGAAAAAGGGAAGAATTATCGAACTTATTAATTAAATTGATGAATACTAAAGGGGGTAAAACTATTAACTTACCTACTGTAAATTTCCCTACGCAAGATGGCAAGTTAAAACCGAAGGTTGAAAATCAGACAGATGTAAAGACTGCGAAGTCGGAATCTGAGAATAATAAAAGAAGATCTACGAGTGATGCAGATACACGAATGGTCACATTTGTGACAGAAAATAATGAATCAGCTAACGAGGTCGTTAGTAGAACTTATCAGATCATTCCTTATTCATTGAGTTCTAATTCATCTGAGAGTAATTCTTCGGATATGTTAACGGAACAAAAAATGACTAGGTATACAAAAATATATATATACACATATCTTTTATATATGTTAGTTTTATAATTGATTAAGTATATTTTTATAATTAAGTTTTTGTAATTATTGTTGACATTACTACAATACGATCATATATGAAACATTCCTTGAGTTTTTTCATTACAATTTTCTATGAATATTCTGACCTTTTCCAGAAATATTTTCTCGAAATACATTTTAGACATTCCTTCTAAATGAATATGTATAATGTATAATTACATGACAATGTATTAATCCCATATCATTAAATTAATAAATTTACCACGTTAATTTAACGATCATTTTATCGATTTTTAGATCATCGGCCGAAACAATGTCGTATTTGAAATCTAAACGAATTCATAGGATAGTATCAAGGACACAGAATCAAGATGACTCTCCCAGCACTGCTAAAAAACATAAAGGGGGGGAGTCCCTCAATTCCTGTAAATAAATATTTCTTTTTTACAGTGCTAAGATTAATGTTACTCCTCACAATACATGAGATCATTTATTTCGACGTATATAAAATAATGTAGTTAAATCATGAACCGAATAAAACTGCAGATATGATTTCTGATTGTATACGTGCAGCTTTATGATTGACCTTGATATGTACTTTAGATAACGATTTTTCTAGTATTATTATTATAGGTTTATAAATTTTTTGTATGAATATGTAAAGCGAATATTTTGAAAACAACAGATATACATTCTGCAGCATCCACGACGTCATTGATGCATTGCGCCACTCAGTTCTCTACTTCGTCGATTATGTACTCATGAAAGTATAATGTATTTCCAAATTATATTTGATTGAGACATAATTTTTTTTTTCTGAGTAATTTTTTAAATCAATTATTTCGAATATATTATTCTTTAAACCGAATTAATAAAAATTCCGTTACTTCATAGTACTATGCTTCGAGACAATCTCGGCGAGTTATTTAAAGCCTCGCGACATATTCGCACAGATATATTTGGTACTCTTAGTTTTAAATAACCGCTAGGTGAAGCCCTACTCAATGCGAATGTCTCGTGCGCGAAGTTTTATGAAAATCGAAATAATAAAAGTTAAAATAGTAGCCAGTGTGATTTGGTGATTACCTTGTAAGTTTTTTCTGTGTTTCTCTATTAAACTATGCAATATATTATAGAATTAGTAAATCAATTACATAATGCATCGTTAGTTTCGCGTTTTATCATATGAATGCACATTATTACATGATAAAATGAATCTTAATGAGAAAGACGGTATATGCATAAATAATTTATGATCCGTTGTAAAAATATTAATTATATCACTGTATTGGATGATATAACTGTAGATCTCTCTTTAGTGTGTGGTATATGATTGTTCATCGGATGTGCTTTATTACGCTCATACGTTTTCATTATGCTTGATGCCGCACTTGTTTAAATGGCACGTATCTCAATAGGATAATGCCTGGATCAATAGACTTGATAGTGTCTACAGCGTACATTGGAGTCACGATTTGGATAGCGTATTGGCTAAGACTATATGCATTATTTTATCTTGATTCTTATCCCCTTACAAGAGCTTTGGTTTTTGAATTCATAGCTACAGCAGAACTTTGCGGGGCATGTTTCGAGCTCATTATAAGTAAGTCGACTCTGTTTTCTAAGTATAAGTATTAATTGATGATATACAATTAACTTTGATGAACGATAATCTTATGAATTCTCTAGAGATCTATTATTTATATTGCAATTATATTTATATATTGCGTATTATTACATATATATGTTAACATTATAATTATATTTTTTCATTGTATGTATTTTTAAACTATTGATTAAAATGTTTTATATTATTTTTTTGTCATTTTATTGTACATATTACAATAGCACTGGTCCTAAGTATTTCCTCCCCCCTAAAAAGTTTGAACTTCTTTAGTTGCGGACAATTGGGGAGTATGGATGTACGCGCTTTATTTGTTTCTACTAACAATCTGGTGGTCGATAAACTGGTATGAAGCTTCTGCGTGTCCTTATACACACATGGAGGATGTAGTAATACGTAAAAAGCCCCTGATTGTCGCATTTTTATTAATATGTGCGGAATTGGCCGGCGGTCTTCTTATATTTAAGTACATTCAAATATTGTGGGCGTTACAATTTGCTTCTACGCACAAGAATAGAGCCTATGGCGATTGTACTACAGATTTGCAGGCAAGACTGAATCATCATTTTTAATTCCATCAACGAATATAAACTAATATTAATTTTTAAATAATATTTTAAGTAAGAGTTTCATTATTCATTCGACGTATTGCGCAATATGTAATACGCGTTCATAATTTCAATACATGCCAGGTAGAGCACAGAGTCGTAATTTAGTTAAAATGACATCACAGAACGTCTTCATGACATCATTTTATACTAAAAAATTGACTTATATAAGTGACGAATGAAGTCATGATGTCCTCATGATATTATTATGACTTCTACGTTCTACTTGGGATGCGATTGTAAGTAATTTTATGAATTGAAAAGCACCTGCGATGATTTTTTTAGGTGTCCGCTATAACTGGAGCGCTTGTGGAATGCATTGCAACGTGCATGTGCAGAGTGGTGTCTCGCGTGCTGGGTGACCTGAACCCGAGGTTTAGCACGATCATCGATGCCTTCGTGGGGACATCTTTAGTAGTTGCAGGTTGATGAATGTTTCCATATTCTTTCTTACAATGTGAAAGAATGCTTATATTGTTGATCTTTAAAATGTATTTCAGCTTTCAATTACACCGGCGGTTACTTTAATCCTGCACTGGCAACTTCTTTAAAATATGGTTGTCTAGGAACCTCATCCATGGAGCATGTGATAGTTTATTGGATTGGAGCATGCATCGGGTCTATCGCCTCTTTGCACGTATACCGTATGTCGTTTGTACAAAATTTCATTCAAGTACAGGAAAGTACAAATGCCATTTATTAGAGAAAAAATTCGGTAAAATTATTTTCAAGAGAATTTATAAATGTTTGTGTTATAATTATAATCATCAGTACCTCTTTAATATTGCATAAAAGTCTAACAATGTACAAAATTGCGTGCCAAAATTAAACGATAGTTTTATACATTCCCATTGTCGTGTAAATAATTATGAACTTGTTCGCAGTTCTGATTACACTTCGGAGACAAAAAATGTTCTAAAATTGTTGACCTATATTAATAAATATTTAAAAAATATTATATATTAATTTAATCGATATTACCTCTGCAATCCCTCATGAAGAAGAAATTAATGACTGATATAATATAATATAATATAATGTATAACAGAATTCAAGGTAAAATATTTCAATAAGCTATTTTTTAACGCCATTTCTTTATTTATCCATATACATTTATCAATACATAAATATTTGTTTATCAATGGTTAATAATGCTGTACGAACTTTATGATGTATCATACATGACACTAAAAATAATTTGCTGCAATAAT